TTGAGAAGTACTCCAATACTACAATTCTTCCCCTACACATGATCTAACTTCTCACAAATACCAGTGTGGCGACTACCCCTGAATTGTAAGCTTTTTGTATCTATTTAGCATTCAAGAATTATCACCAAAGAACAAGTGTGTCACTCAAATACTTTCAGCAAGGCATGCAACTGCTATTTGCTGTCTGAAATCTCAAATGTTAAGCCCCAATGTCAACAAAAGATAGTTCTGTAAGAAACTACAATTAAGGCAAGTAACCTCTAAGAGCAAGGGTTCCTTTGTGGACATCAGTTTCACAATTATTTTGTGTAGCAGTGATAGTTTTTGAGTTTTTCAAAAGTACTTTATGTTGTTCAGTCATCATCAATTCTTCACATGACAGAAAAAGAATACCTACCATTTGACAGCCAAGTTTTGCACCTCACCATTCTTATCTTCCAGTAATTTCAAAATCATCTTCACCACCTTTCTTTCACTGTCATCATCCAGCTTGATAGAATCTTTCTGTAGTTCCGTCATCAAGTCATTAGTAGCCATAAACCTGACAAAAGATGGTCAGATAATTATTGTTAAAAGGACACAGGTTATTCACAGTGCTCAGGATTCAAGATTCTCAGTTTCCACCATTCATTATCAAATAAATCACTTTTAACATTGGATTACTGCTGTCTGTTTTGTGATGCAAGTAGCATTTATAGAATAGAAAGGAGAAAAATTGTATTTGAAAAGGACAATAACTTTGAGTTAGGTCATCATCTTTGTCTAATAAGAACAGCTATATATTTTACTTCCAGCATTTATTTATATTATATTCCATATGATCTCCACAAAGAAAAACTGACACTTTCACAGATTTTAAATAGTCCTTTAATTAGCTATGCTGATGTTGTAAAAAAAAAAGCTTTTTAAAAAATCTTTGTTAAAAGAATTATTCTCTGCTCTGAGTTTATTTTAAAACAAATTTTAATCAAGAAGAAAAATACAGTTTCCCAAACATTCTCCCATAAAATTCATAAAAGCCAAACATTCATTAATGGAGAAATAATAGTTAAGCTTATGTTTCATGTGTTTTTCATTTTCTTGCCCTGTACAGACCAGTTTGTTCACAGTCTAGAAACCAGATGATCACATTTACCCATCCCACAATCCAGGGTGTCACGGTAAAGAACAAAATTAATTCTCGAGAAATCAAGCAAATAAAATCATCTTTCATGGCAATTAATTTACTATTTAATAATAGTCACATTCATTAATAGAAGAATATACTGACAAATGACTTTCCAAAAATACTGCTTTTATGCTTTTTGTTTCTTTTCCTTCTGATGACTGCTTCCCAATCCATTCTTCTTTTGTAAGTACCCTCTCTACTCAGAAGTAGCCATACAGATGTATTACTCAAGTACAAATCCCATGGGCTTTGGTACCAATACTGACCCCCATTCCAAGCCCCTGATAACAAGGGTTCATAGTTAAACAGTTGAGAGTGACATTTGGACTTTAGGCACGTCGGCCTCAAGCAGACACCACTTGAACTCAGGTCTTACTTGGAAGGTTATCTCTGCAGCCTGACATGCCAGATACTACTTTTTCATTGAAAATTAAAGCCAAGACTCTACACAATCTTAATATGCATCACAAATGCCAGATGCCTGCCCTCACATAATAGACCTCAACTTGTCCTGTCTTTTAATATAGTAATTCCAGTCTAATAGTCTCAAGGTGTTTTTAAGATAAGACCCCACTCGTTTTTCATTCACTCCAACAGTCCCACTGAAGCAAGCCTGCAGTCTGACCAGAACCAGATGTGCTCATAAACAGGCTGTGAATGCAAATAGCATTAGTTTTAAGAACAGCAAAGAAAAAAAATACTAGGTAAGTAAAGGTAATGGACAGATAGGATGAAATTTAAGGATATACATGAAATCACACAGTACTAGAACACTCAAAAATTGTCTTCAAGTTCCTGCCAGTATTTATCTCCTTTTCTTTAAAACTTAATAACCTCCTCTCACTTCCTTGGTCAAAAGCTCCTATTTCCTAGCCTTAGGAGTGCACATGCACTCATCACCTACTTGTCACTTCCTAAACTAGGCAAAGCTTATGCATTCTCAGTGCTTCAGCAGCCTCTGCACTCAACTACAACTGAAACTCCAAAATGCAATGGGGAGGTCAAGCAACTTTAGGTTAAAGTAGCTGGTATTTAGAAACATAGTTTTGGGTAGTTTCAATGTGACTTTTAGTCACAACTGCTTCTTCTGCCAGCACATCAAACTTTCCCTGGTGCAAAGCAGGCAGGGTGTCAGCAGCTCCACACACCCGGTACTAGGAGAAGTCATTCTCCTCCTCCTGCAGCCAGATGTAAACTGCCACCTTATATTACTGCCCTGTTTAGAATTTAAGCCTGAGTTTCCATGCGGACAATGCATCCGCAAGTATGTGTCTCTTCCAAGAAGTATGTCCAAAGAAGTACATCTTCCAAGTTTGCAAGACAAACAAGACAGTTTATCCAAAAAAAGGAGGATTAAATTTTACAGTAAAGTCGTTACTTGAACAGTGGTTTATACTCAGCTCCCTGATATCAACAAGACAATTGCTCTGTCCCTCTTCAAATACACATAATCTGATAATAAATGCACATAAAATTACTAGACCTAAATGCTATTTTATGTGTATCGTGTATTTGCACAATGGATAAAGTTTCATATAATATGTTATTGCATAACAGTCAGTTTGTAAAGGTCCATCATCATGCATTTTTTATGGTTTGTAAAGTTAGATTTTAATCTACGTTAGGATTTTTTTTTTAATATTCAAGAATTCCAAAGTCGTTCAAAGTTCCTAGAACAGATAATTTCTAAGTGTGCTCTAATAAAGGAACCAAAAACCAGTTTTAATTACATGCAGCTGGAGGAAAAGAAGTGCTTGCTACAATTGCATTTGACAGGTATAACCTAACCCTTTTATGCAGAAAGTTTCTAAGTCATAAAAACCAGTATTTAGTGACAAATCCAATGGAACTTTTTCTAAGTCATCCTCCCCATAAGCACAAAATGGAAATATCACTTAATCACAGAAACAAATTAGCACAACAAAAGTAAAAAATCTTCTGTAATATTTAGAGAAAAAAAATGTTTGGATCTAGTTTCAGAATAATTTAAAGAAATAATTTTTAAAAAATCAGGCAATTCTTGATTGTCTCTTTTTAGACTAATCACTATTTTTTTGTAATTCCAAAATTTCTAGTCTGAACTCTCCAGGTAATTCCAATCTGAAAGAAAGTGACATGAAAAAAACATAAATATATCACATTTGTGTCCAGTTTGTCAAAAGCTAAGATTATTCAAAACCCAACTCTATGTTAACTTAATCACCACCTCTGTTTTCCTTTAGATTTTAATATATTAACAAGAGAAATGTCTGGATGTCAACATCTACTTTAACCACAAAACTAAGCACTGTAATGCTGCAGCAAAACAACAAAACACAAGTACATTTTATGTCTTTTCCCTGTCTGTATTCCTGTACTCTCTTTGACAAATAAAGGCTTCAAATGTGAATTTCTGGTTCCACACAATACCAAAAAAGGTAATTATCTTTCACCTAATGCTTTGCTAGAGCTACCATGTAAATGTATTTTCTCTGCTGTTTTTAACAGCTTACTTGTATTATCTCACTTTGATACTTTACATATTACCTACTATTAATTTATTACAAAGCAAACAAATGATCCAAAAAAAGTAGTGCTCTTCTGACAGATCCTAAGCTCAAAAATAAATGCCATAAGACTTGACTTCCCTCTCTGGATGCACAAAAGCAATACACAACTACATGAGGACTACAAGAATCCTCTGTCTACAACATGCAGCATTGAGGAAGGATGTAAGCTTAGAGTCACAGAGTTTTTAGGACTGGAAGGGACCTCTGGAAATCATCTAGTCCAATCCCCCGTCAAAGCAGGGTCACCTAGAGCAGGTTACACAGGAACGCACCCAAGTGGGTTTTGAATGTCTCCAGAGAGGGAGACTTCACGACCTCCCTGGACCATCTGTTCCAGCGCCACCATCAACAGATTTCACAGAATATTCTCAGTTGGAAGGGATACCCAACGATCATCAAGTCCAACTCTTAAATGAACGGCCCATATGGGGATTGAACCCACAATCTTCGTTTTATTAGCACCATACTCTAACCAACTGAGCAACATAAAGAAGTTCTTCTTCATGTTGAAGTGAAACTTCTTGTCTTTTAATTTATGGCCATTGCTCCTTGTCCTGTCACTGGGCACCACTGCAGAGCCTGGCACCATTCTCTTTGCACCCCTCTTTGAGGTATTTATATGCCTTAAAGAGACCTCCTCTCAGTCTTCTCTTCTCTAGACCAAGCAGGCCCAGCTCCTTCAGTCTCTTCTGATGAGAGATGTTTCAGTCCCTTAATCTTCTTTGTGGCCCTCCACTGGACCCTCTCAAGCCTGCCGTGCTGGCTGGCCCTCCCTGCTCCTATTCGTAGAATCACAGGCTCCATATCTTTTTGAGCTTGGGAAGGGGATCTGGGAGGTCACCTCACCCGGCCTCCGCTGCTCAACGCAGGGTCAGCGACAGTCGGTTGCTCAGGGCTTCGTCCGTTCGGCCTCTGAGCATTTGCGAGGCCAGGAATTCAAACCTCATCCCTGCCTGTCCCCGCCAGCTCAACAAACCTGACGGGCCGCTCGGCTTTCCCAGCTGCCGGGGATCCCTGCCCAGACGCGTGGAGGCCGCGGCCGTGCGGGCACCGCCGCGCCCCGTCCTTCCCGGGCAGCGAGGAGGGACGCTCCGCTCCCGGGAACTCTCTCCCGGGGCAGCAGCCGCGGCAGATTCGCGCCCAGTCCCGCAGTGGCGGTGCGGGGGTCACAGCCCGGGCCCGCGGACCGGCCCCCGCCGGGCACTGTCCGCGCCGCCGCGACACCCACCAGGCCCGGGGCCGGCGCGGGGGCGTGCGCGGGGCCGGGGCGTCCGCGGGGCCGACGGAGGGAGCCCGGGGGGTGGGGGGGGGCGGCGGGGGGGCTCCCCCGAAATCCTTGTCGCTGGATGTCATTTTCTCCAGCAGGTTGGAGATGTGGTACGAGGCGCTCGCCATGTTGACGGACGCGGCCGGGGCGGGGAGGGGGAGAGAAGGAGGAGGCGGCGGCGGCGTCTTCCCGGCCTCGCCGGCTCCGCTCCGCCCGCGGTGCAGGGGCCGGGCCGGGCCGGGCCGGGCCGGGGGGGGGGGGTGACTGCGGCGGGCGCGGTGGGAGGGGCGGGCAGGCGCGCGCGGCCGCTCGCGCTCGGCGCCGGGGTCGAAGGCCGGCGCCGCTGATTGGCTGCGCGGGCGGGCGGGAGGCGCAGGCGGCCCTGTGACACCTCGTGGCGTCAGATCGTACGTGGCGCGGAGCGTGCGCGGGAAGCTCGTGCGGCCACGGGAGAGAGGCGGGGAGGCCCGCGGGGCCTGCGTGTCCCGGCGTGCACCGCGCCCGCGCCGCGGCTCTTGGCGGGACGTGTAGTTTGGAGCGCGGCGAGTATCCCTGAGCGCGGGGCACGCTGGGATGCGGTGCCTCGTTGTGGGGCGGGGCGGGGCGATTTCACTGAGGGAGAGTCGGTGGAGGCGATGCTGGAAACTAACTGCTCTAGGTTGAGTGCTGTTCGCATCCAAAGGGTTCAGCAGTACTATGGGTTCCTGTTAGTGCCCCCCATGGGGCACCGGGAGCGCTGCTGCTCGTACTGTGGCCATTACAAGCCCGCAAAATATCCTGGTGTTACAGAGCCGGCAGCTTCTCTTCCAGGCCCCTTCACAGGTGTGCAGTGTCTCCCATCATAGCTGAACGCGGTCTCAAAAATGTCAGATGGATCCCAAAAGTGATGTGAAAAATCAGCCGTGTCTTGCAGAAAGCAGCTTGGAAATGTGATATGAGTGCTTTTAGAGGCCTCAGAAGCCAAAGGACACCTTTGGAGAGTGGGGCTTTTTTTGCATACCCTGTTACTGTTCGTGCCAGTCTCATTACTTTTCTGGGCACAGCCCATGGTCTGTCTATGCATGGGTAGATGATATGGAGTAGTAGTAGAACCAAGGAATTATTTCCACGTATTTCTTCCTTGAGGTTCATGTTATTGTCCAAGAATTTTAATAGCCTTAATCCTTCTCGGTTACGTGTGTATACAGCAAACCTACAGAAATGCCTTTTGATCTTGTGATTAAAAATAAAGACTTGAACTATAAAGAAAATATCTTCAAGAGTTTATTACATGCAGTTTGCAGGCAGCCTTGCAGAGCAGCTGATGGAAAACACACACTTTACTCAATAGAGTGAAGTTGTGTATCACCCCCATGGCCTGTGACCCAGCCACAGTGTACAAACAGCTGTCTTGGAAGGTACTCGTACTGTTCATTGCCTGGCAGCTGGGTTAGAGAGAGAGCTTAATGTGTACTGATCTCCTTCCCCAGAGCAGCTCAGTGGTAGGAAGAGGTGGGGCAGCATGGCGTTGGATTAGTGGCATTGCAGTGGGCGCGATGTAGGGATGGAACAAGGAAAATGGAAGTAGTCAGGAGCGGGATGGGTGTCTGGAGGAGAAAGAGGGGAACGTCAGTGTGAGTGGAGGAACTGTAGTGAGGGGAAGCATTCAAAAGGAGAGCTGGCCCAATGATGACTGATTTTCAAGTAGGCCATTCATTCCTTTGATTTGGGAATACTGAATTTAGAGGTTACCTTTAGAGAGGGAAATTCTTTACTTCATTTTGCTTGTATGCTTGCGTTGAATATTTAAGGAAGCCGACTGGAACAATACAAATGGAGATAGACTCAATCTTGACTTGGTTGTGACAGCTGAAAATGGTTTATGATGTTTGAATTGCGGTGATATTTTACACACCTCTTTGAAGTACTGAGGCATAAAAAATTGAAGTACAAATGTTTGACATTTGGCACATTGATTCATATTTTGCCATGGGAAGGTTAGCACTATTCTAAATCATTTTAGTGATTGTGACTTTTGAGCATCTTACAGTTCCCCGGAACAATTTGTTTCCGGGATGTCAGTGTCTTACAGTTCTCACATACTGTGGGAAAAGACTGTTCTAACCCAGTCTTTATTTATATTCATGACTTTGGTACTAAGTGGGGATCAGGTGGTTATGGGGTGGTGAAACATCCTCTGTTCCAAAAACATTCTTCCCACATGCATTATACTGGAGAAGCATGTTAAGACCAACTAGACAAAAGAAAATCCTCTATGCTAGGGAAAGTTGTTGATTCCTGTTGTGGAGTAAAGCATTGCCAGTGGTCCCTGTGAACTGCTGTTGGGATTTACCTTTTCAAATCCTTACAGTTTTCAATTAGACACTAAACCAGGCTATTTCCTACTTTGAGAATCCTGCATACATCTACTTTTAAGAAGAGAGTGTGTGAGAAGAAAAAAAAATCAGAACAATTCTCTGGTCTGCGAGACAGCCTTGAACACTTTTAAATTTTTTTTAAAATCATTTAACATCACCCTTCCCATGCTAGTTTCTGTACCTGCAGCTTACCTGCCACTGCTTAAATCCAATTTCCCATTACTGCCAGAAACACCGGCCATCATGAAGGAAGTCAAAGTATTTTTTTGTTCAAGTACATTTATTACAATTGGGATTCAGCTAGTAGATACAATGTTCCAGAGGAGACTAACACAGAGAGAGACTAATTGAGTTGAGATTTTTTCCAGCTGATAGCAAACAACTTCACAGATGGAGTGGTACTCCTGATCTGTTCCCTGTAGACATGCATATTAGATGGTCTTTATTCACTCACAAAGATATCTGAAAGCTTAATTAAATGCTGGAACCTGAAAGGATTTATCTTACTTTACACTTGCAAATATATTCCCCAAATACTGAAGGAGCGAGAAGAGCAGAGTTAGTTTAGAGATGCATTCACAGCTCTAGAATTTGAACCCTCCTCATTTTGCAGTTTCAGTTCACACAGGATCTGTGAGCCCACTGATGGACAGAGGATATCAGGAATGTGCTGCATCTTTATCTGTCAGTGTAGAAAGAGCTATACCATGCAGCTTTACTCAGCTTAAAGGTAATCCTTTCAGATGACAAGTTAAAAGCTGGTTATCATTTTTTACAGAGCTGGTTTTGGGGAAATAAAAGGAAAATTTCTGCTCTAAGTCAAAAGCTGCTCACTGCTGCAAGCAGATATTTGAGTTAGAGAACCTTACAGTTGTGGTTTATCACTTAGATATGTGACTGACTTTGAACATCTGAACCCTGACTTTTCACAAAGATGCATATAAAGAAAGCCTTTACAAATTTATTGACTGATCATATTAACAAACCACAGATGGTTTCAAAGAAGTAATCTAGACTGAAATATGAAAGGAACAAAAAGGAGTGGTATGGCAATCTTCAACTTAAAGCAAACAAATTGAAAAAGCAGCATAACCTACACTGCCGCAGTCACGTGGGTAAATGTGTATTTCAAGGTATTAAGGTTATTATTGTATTGCATTGTTATAAACTGTTATGTTCCGAGACACGAAGATGAGTTAGCTGTTTGGCTAACTTGGCTTTCGAATCTTAATCATAGCAATACTCTGCTAAGGGTGGGTCTTTTTTTCCCCCCTTCTTTTTGTTTTCCTTGTTTTTCAAGTTACATGGCAGTCCATAGCAAATGATAGCAATGTCAAAGGGCACATTCATAACTAAATAAATCATCAGCTGCCTTTCAACCTCATAAACCAAAGTTTTAGTTAAGGTTTTTTTCTATTCCTAAAGCTGAAAACTTGCTCATATCCAAGTTAAGTAAGAATCTCAAAGCATCTTTCCAAAAGCAGTGGGTGCTACTGTACTAATTCTCACTTGAGATCGTTTCATTTCTGGACAACAGAAGATACTGTTGATCTCATTTAGGAGATATTTCTACACACCAAAGAGAATAAATAATAGCTGCAACTGCCTTCCTAACCCAGATAATCCATTTCTGTAAAGCAAAGCAAACCAAAACAAAGTGTTTGAGTATCTGATTCCTCAGCTTTAAAAAGAGAAAGATAGGAAAACATTGCTGAAAAGAATATATTCGTCTGGTTAAGTAATGGACTGAAGCAACTGTCACATGAGCTCAGATTGTCTCTCTAAAAGAACAGAGCTCCAATAGCACCCTCATCATAAGATTAAGTTTCAGGAAACGTAATATCTTAAAGGAAAAAATGTAACGGGCTTTTAATTAAAAGGTTAAAAAAGAATCAAAAAACCTCCCCCACAATAACACTAAAAGAAATTTCCCTTCTGATTACTTAAGACTGCACAGATTTTTGGAGGATCTCTGGTCAATATCAGATGCGTACCACAACCGTACAAAAGTAAAAAAGAAAATTAATCTTTCAAATTAAATCTGATTCGTTATATGAGCCAGAAATTTAGACTGAAAGATTTTTATCATTGTATTATTTTCATGCCAAACGAACTCAGTTTACAGAGCAAAAGCTTTTATCTTCCTTGATATCTCTCCTAAAAATCAGTCCAAGTTGTTTTTCCTTGACCATTTGCATTTTCATTCCTTATCACAACTCTAGGTTTGTAATTCCTTCAGAGCCCTTTATGTTTCCCTTTATGTCAGCACACCCAGCTTTCTTCATATAATGATCTCAGCAATGCTTGTACTCAAGACACTTCTCTTCAGTAAACTTAAAAGCACTTGTTTAATTGGAACTTATGTTACTGAACAATATTCTTTGTGTCTCAGAAGTTGTAAAAATACAAATTGTTTGCCCTGTTGAGGCTTATTAGAACAAGAAGTAGCTGTGTTATGGATTTTGTTTATTCTGGATCCCACATTTCAGAAAAGCCTTGACCATCCTGATAATTTAGAAATTTCAACATTAGTACATTGGCTAATTACGAGTCAGTGTTTGTTAAAGTGGACATAAGAGCTAATCTGTTTCATTTCCTGACATAACAACACTGCTGCTGTTCTCTCTATTCTTGCTTAAGAGTGCTTCACTTCAGGCCAACAGAATGTGCTATCTCCCACATTTATCGGACTCTCAGTAACAGCAAAGTTGAAAAAATACAAGTACAATTATTGTGCCATGAATCAAGGTGAACAGAGAGGGCTAAAGCTAAATTGCAATGAATGAATTGATGGAATGGAGTGTAACCTTGCAGAGTCTGATTTCTCAGAGCAAAACTGACTCATCCACAGGATTGTCCAAGGTAAAGTGACTCAGTGATTCTCCTCTTGGAGCAGATAATGCCTGTTGCCATCCCACCATCACTTGAACAACAAACATAGCCCACTGACTGTCAAGATGTGTCTCTGCTGACTGCCACAAACTGACTCATGTTTTGATCTTTTCCATGCTCTCTGAATGTTCTACTGAAGGGCTTTATTAGTCTTTAACTCACATGTTGGAGCTGAATGGTTCTTAATATACATTGTATTCTTTTCTTTTAAATTTACTAATTGAGAAATAAATTAATAGTAGTTACTCAACACAGACTGTCATCTACATTCTCACAGCGGAACCTAAAAATATCCTGACTTCTGTATGCTCTGCATGAGAGACTTCTCCAGGTGTCCCTATATAGTTGACTGCAGTTTTTAGACCTGACATGTAATACCTGTGGTGTTCAGGTCCTCCTGAGCAGGAACACACACTGGCTGGTCTTTTATTAGAGACTCTTGTAGGACTGAGAAGCTCTACGTTTCATCAGCTCAAAAGTTCTTTGAAATTTTTTTTACTGAACTGAATTATATTTAACACATAGTAAGTGTTATGCACAAAATCCTATTAGAGGAGTACTAAATTCAAGTACTGATTAGGGCCTGTCTGTGTAGTTTCCTCTGGTTACTTGTTTTTGCAAAGAGAATAAGGGTAACAGTAGCAGGCGCGGGAACAGACTAGAAAACTGTGGTAAAATTGCTTTCACTGTTTGCACTGACAGAACTGCCACTTCCTTCAAAATCTTTGAGTGCTTTGAATCAAAGCCTTTAAAAGGTCAGAAGCAAAGATCCAACCCCCAGAACTTATGAATCTGCTAATACATGAGAAAACTCCATACCTCCTTGTCCTCATTAGAGTTTTACCCAAACTTAGGTAACTCATGGCTCATTTGTGCCATGACCATTTCCACTTTTCCCTGGAGTCAAGGCTGCTGAAGGGGCTGCAGTCTTCGGGGTATTTCCATTTTCTGGCTGTCCTGCATGCAGGTGGTGGTACCGAAGAAGGGCTGGCCAACAACTGGTCTCCAGCTCAGCACTGAACATCTTCATGGATGTCAACAGCCATTTGAACAGAAACGCCAATTAATTTATATTGCAAAAATTCCCACCATAACCAATTGAATCCTGGGGCTTAGAGTCTTTCAACATGATTTTGCTCTTTCATATAAATTGTTAACCACATGTTTACGTGCTAAAATTAGTTAACACAGCGTCATAAGTGTGAAAGGTGTTTCAATGCATATATTATTAGGCTATTCATATTGTTCTAGGATTGGTAGCCGTGTATTATAATACCAAGGTATAGCCTAAGTTTAAAAGATATATGATAGCATATGTTTGAACATGTCAGAGCCACCATTAGAATTTTTAAACCCTCTGGGTTTGTAAAATTTCTCTTCATAATGAATATGTATTAATTTGAGTAGAACTGCTAAGTATCGGTGTCTTAATTGTGAATGTATGTATCTGAGTGGCAAACACAAAACAAAGTATCAAAAGAAGTGAGAGTATCAGCCAAGAATCTCACGCATCTCATGTGCATTATTCAAGCAGGAGGAGGATTTTGAAAGAAAACATCTGCAATTAGCTATAATACTTTTGAAATCATTACATGCCAGGAAGAAAAGCGTATATCAAAACCAATATGTTTAAATTTCAAAATAATCTTAAGAAATGCCTCCTGTTGTTCTGTTATCTCTCAGGGGGTTAATGATGCCAGTAGCTCTCACTGAGAGATCTGGTATTTTTTAATAACTTCTATCACAAAAGTCACCCACATGCCACAGTCTGATGAAGAGGAATGTCATTTCCAAAACAAAAATAGATTTGCAAAAGTCTTAGTCTTTTCATTTATTGGAAATTGAGACATATTGCTTATGTTAGAAATATCTCCTGCCTGTCACAGTCAAGGTGACATATATGATTTTTAATGTTTTTACCACTTTTGTGGTACTGCCACGTCATGGGTTGAGGTGGCCAAGGTCAACCCATGACACAGTCTAAGGATGTAATTTTATCTCTGTGTTCAGCTATAATGGTACTAGATCTGGGCTTTGTTCTATTATCATCTTGTAGAGGCCAAAATTAGTAATTTTTCTAAGATTTTTGCATTACCAGCTAGTGCTTCAGAGAGACTGGAACAAATATATTGTAGAAGTAATGTCATTTGGAAGTATGAGATACAGAGAGACAATTGTCTGCTCACATATTGCAAGATAAAGATGATTTTGTCTCTCAATGATTTGTAAGAATGTCCTTGAAGTTAATTCATACAATGTTTCTGGAGACAGTGCTTTCCCTAACAATAGAAATAAATAAACTTCTTTCTTTGTTTTCTTGTACCTGATGTCATCATTTACACCACTACTCAGTGTTAAAAAGCTGCTCTGATGGCATTTTGCAGTCACTTTGTCCTGCTGTGAATAGTGGCACTCTGTGCGGCTGTGATGGGCATGGATGGAAAGAAGGTGCTGTTTTGCAGCCCTATCTTCCACTGGGAGGTCATCAAAGTGTGCTGCCCAGACAGAACCATTGTGAGAGCAGGATCTAGTGTCTCTCAACTCTTTCTCAAAATCTGTGCTGCCAAGGACCAGAGAACCAGATGGAGAAGCACCTACTGTAGTCTGCCAGTCTTGTGTGTGGCCAAGTTTTTACTTTTAAAATACAGGATGTTATCCCTTCCACGTTTGCCATAAACCACAGAAGCTCATTGCTTTCAGGTCCTTGTCGTGGGTTGCTTTCATTCGTTGCTCTCTAGTCCACCGTGCTTTTCTATGTGGTATTAGCAAGGTCATTCTGGGAACCCATCAAAGGCTGAGAACAGCATCAGCAGCTGAAAGAGAATTTTCATTACTCCTCAGCAGTGTATAGTCTCAGGCATCTAGCTGAGAAACTGTGACACCATCCTGAAGGAATAGTTTGTACATCCTTCAAGGTCAGCTTGGAAATATAGCTATTTTATTGCAATGGAAATATCCCGTTTTAGTCAATCTTCAGGAGCAAGACATTACTAGAATACTTACAGGAGTAATTTTTTTCTGTTCAGAACTTTTTGTCCACAAACCGATGCAAAGGGTTTTTGTTTTCAAGAAGCCAACTCCAAAATAATATTTCCTTTAGGTGACTCATCTGGTGGTGCAATAGTGCCCCTGCAGGCCAGTCAGAAGTTGGCAGTGGTCCCTAGTATTTCAGACTTCAGTGAATTGTGGAACATGGTTGGGTTTTGTGAGCCATCTTGGTTGATTCAAGGTTGGCTTAAATACAACAAAGCATTTAAACACATAGCTTTATTTTAAAGCAGAGTGGCTTCATATGGCTTCACGCATGCTTACATACTTTGCTGGGAAAAAAACATTTTTGTGTATTGCAGGTGTATCAAGCAGAAAGAAAATCTGTATCACTGCTTGCTATATAAGGTCTGAGGTTCAGTTTTTTCTTTAATTACTGTATTTAATTCACATGCTTCAGAGGTCCAGAAAAAAAATTCATTTTTTGTTTTCCTTAAAGAGTGCCCAGTTTCTCAAAGTTCTTAGCTCAAGTTAGCATTTTACAACAGGAATGCCATTTTCAGCATCAAGCAGGATAAACCCCTGACACATTTGCAAAACCAAGCAAAGTCTGGGATGGTGAATACATTTTCAGAACTGTGGGAACTAATCAAAGGCAGTATTAAATCCATTTGATTCTCTTAGAAACCACCTGGATGTCCAGATAGATAATTCAGAACAAATGTGTTCGAGTGCTTAGAAAAAACTGGAATGAAAATCCATTCTCACATCAGTTGCTAAACACTGACCAAAGGAGCAAATATTATGCTGAACCATGTTCCAATCTGGTGCAAGGGATAGAAATATATCTATCTATATACATCTTTCAAGATAAAGTACTGGGTCATGTATGATCCACTGTTGGATGGCAGAAGGAAAAAGAGCTCCATGTCACAATCATTCCTACGCTTCCCACCAAGTCAAACATCTGTAAAATTGCCCTGTTTGAGGCTTCTCCCTTGAGGTAACTTTTGCACCTGCAGCTCAAAGATTAAATTGCATCTGTTGAAAAGAAATGGCCATTTGGGTCACATATGTTATCAAATGACATTTTTTATTTATTTGTGCAGCTAGAGCTACTGAATTAGGAATTCTTTCTCTTCATTTTGAGCTTTTCTGTGGGTCTTTATCATAAAGTATTTTTTTGAGACAGTGAAAGCACTGAGGCTTGAAGTTTTATAGCAGGAAAAAAAGGAAGAAGAGGGCATAATGTTTTTCTGAATTTCTCTGTGATAATATATCTGTTATTAATACTTCAGTAGCATAAATAATTCTATACTCACCTAGTACCACTTAGGTACCCCAAAAAGTTATAGATTTTCATTGTTAAATACTTTACTCCTTCACTGTCATGTCTGGTAGGTACTTTACTACCTGCCATCCCCACACCTTTGAATGATGTTGTTGAAGTAATCTTTGTGTCAAGCACCAATTCCCACCCTTCTTGGTGTGTGCAGAATATGGTATAAGAGCAATAAGAAAGTAAGAACAGTGTCTACTTCTGAAAAAATAAGCTTTATACATGGAGGTGCTCCCAACATGTGTCTTTTAGAATATTTTCAGAAAGCTTATAGTGTGGATACTCTTAATGTAAAATAATATTCTTCTAAAAGAGTTCTTTGATGACAACTATAATTCTTTAGCTTTGTATAGGTCTTATTCTAGAGTAATTTCTTTATGGACACAAGCTCAGTAACAATCAACATTAGTGAACTAGTTATCTACATTCACCTTTTTTTAATATGAAAAAGCTGACTAATCAGAGTCCTTGACAAAAAAGGCAAAGGAGTAATGGCTGAAAATACACCACTGCTTTTAAAAAATTGATATGGACTGCTCAGTCCCTCTGTGTTGCCTCCTTAGTGCTACTTTCTCTTTTGACAAGATTTACTCAAACTGTCTCTTTTTGGCACGTACGGTTGGTGGCATATAGTGTCAAGTAAGCCCCAGATTTTCATCCTTTTTCCCAACAGGGATTAAAATTTCTATGTAAACAGAATCAGATGATGATCCAAAATGGAAGCTAGTAATTCAATTTTATGTGTTGTTAGACCTGTAATCTTGGTAAACATTCATAGTTACTTCCAACTGAAATTCACCAAACTTGCTATCTATCTCATGCATATTTATTTTGCTTACCAACAGTTCTCGTGAAAAACTAATGCAAAAGGTTCAAAATGTATTTACCATAATTCATATGACTCATCTTAAGAGCCATCATAATTTATGCTCAATATAAGTGACTAAAGAACAAGACCATACTTCTAGGAATTGGAACAAACCAGGGCTTCAGTGAAAAAATATTCTCCGGCTGGGTTATCAAATGGTATAAGATTTTCCAGGGTATTTTCAGTGATTAGGGAATGCAAATGGAGTGCAAAAGAAATGAATGTTGTCCTAAGTGCTGAATGATATCACGACTAATGAAGCAATCAGCCCTTTTTGTTCCAAAGACTCATTTTACAGTAGAGGGAGAAAATGTAGCAATCACAACCTGTAATGTGATGATGGCAGATGCAGTGAGAGTGATATTCCATTAAAGTTAATATTTCATTTTTCACTAAAGACCGACAAGTTCAACAATAGCTGAAGTCAGATTTTTATCTGTTTCAGCTGTCATTACTTTTTCATTACTTGCCATCAATGAATATTTTCAAGCAGCAGATCCAGTCTTTGGCATAGCTGTGCTCAACTGATGCACCAAAACACACTTAAAAGGAAACGCTGGGAAATGATTTAATAAGAAGTTATTTAAACATGAGGAAGAATTAAAGGAAATAATAAACCCAGTGTGCACTGAATTGCAAATAGGAAATAGTTTCTTTTTGCTAGTAGGGCTACATAAAGCCTCAAAGCAATGGACGTGCTTCATGTCCAATCGATGCTGACAGAATTAAGGTTCCTGATATTTTAGAATGAGTCACATTGTGTGGCTGTTGTGGTAGATTTTCTCTTAACCATGAAAAAATCTTGTGATTCCAATAATAAAAACAATTCCACTCAAATGCTGCAGCTTAGTTCTTATCCCTTCAAACCAAACCCAAGGAACTGATGGCACAGAAGATACGAGAATTATATATCACATCAGTACAGAATGATCTAATTTGCTCTGATGCAAAAGTCCTGAAGAAATATGCTGCTAAGGCGATCCAATCAGGCAGGGTTTCTTCTTTTCCTATTCTAGTTTAGAAAGCAAAAAAATGATCTGAAAACTGAAGCTATGCCCTCCAGAGAGTTACCTTATCACAAAATCAGTCACACATGGAATACAAAAATCTTTCAGAGAAAATAGACATCAAATCCAACCTGCTGGTGTTTTCTTCATTTTAGAGCTTCGGTAATGATATTCAGAGAAATTCATAATGAACCTGAAGAAAGAAAAAAGTCTGGTAGATTCACTTTTATTTCATACTTGAGTTATAACAACAGCTCCCAGACTGAGATCATCCTCTCTAATAATAATAAGCAAACCTACGCCTAAAGAACTGTCAAAAAAATTTTGCTAACATAAATAGAGTGTACTAGAATGTCTTCAGAATTCATTTGGCCAAATGCAAAGGTACTGAAGTGTGATGTCTCTTTCTGCGACTAATAATACAACGAAGATGAAGATCTAGAAGGCTCAATGTACTCACAATTGACCTCTTTTGTATCTAGGGTGGCAACTGAAATCCAAAATAAGTGGAAACAACAGTGATGAAATTCTGTTGCCACATCTATTGTCAGTGAATTGGTCACAGAGTTCCTGGTAAACATACAAAATGTCTCACCATAATTGTCACCCTCTTAATCCTCAAGGAAATAGTATAGAATGGAGCAGGCAGGAAGAACAAAATTCTCATTAGTTTTGTAGGTTGTTCCCCTTTGGGCAACAGATTTACATTGAGGAATTGAGCCAGGAATAACTAAAGCTTGTAACACTTCCCACCTACAGCTTTTAGTACCAGCCTTACCCTTAGCCAAACTTGGTCAATTTTGTTTAAAAATTCTTCCTGAAAGGCATTTTCAGGTCTACATAGAACCACTAAGTGACATCTAGAAAAACAACCAACAGCAACAAGCAAGAAATCTTTTTTTTTCCATTGAAGAAAATACATTTCAGATTTGCGTTCTACTCATTCTCTCTCAGTAATAATTTATTCCTTAGTCTTGTGCAACAGGTCATTAACCTGCTTAACAACCCTAAATCTAGATGTTTTTCCTTTAGAGAAACGCAGTGAAAATACCCAATCTTTCTTCCATTTCATTTTCTTTGATAATGTACATGAATGCATGAACTGGGATTTTTCTTTCACAGTGGCAAACAGTAGTTTAGCTATTAACTAAATGGAATCTAGATTTGTAACCCTCTGTCTGTGTACAGTCTTATTATCTGCTGAGTCTGATTATACTCAGATCAATATTATCTAATGACTGTGACCACAGGTGGAATGCTTCAAGGATATTTCAACTTCCACTGCTGTTTGACAGTAGGCAGAAAGTATCACTGCAAAGTTATTTGGTCGACTTGATCTTTTTCTTCTAGTCAGAAACAAGAGGAAAATCCTTGAGAAGATAATTTAAATTTTTCATCCACATTTCCCATATTTTACCTGCACCACAAACCACATGGCTTTTTAAGACACAAATCATGTTAAAAAATCAAAAGC